GTACCACTAGCAGCAAGTGATGGTGGGTGTGGTGATGGTGTTAGTGGTGCTGGTGCTGGTGCTGGTGCTGGTGCTGGTGCTGGTGCTGGTGCTGGTGCTGGCGCTGGCGCTGGCGCTGGCGCTGGTGCTGGTGCTGGTGCTGGTGCTGGTGCTGGTGCTGGTGCTGGTGCTGGTGCTGGTGCTGGTGCTGGTGCTGGTGCTGGTGTTGTGGTTGTTGCTGTTGCTTTTGCTGTTGCTGTTGCTGCTGCTGCTGCAGCTGGTGTCGTCGTCATTGCCGTCTTTGTTGCCGTTGTCCCATCATCCAAAAGCCCCCGAAACCAGCAAACAACAAATCTTGGTCCAGGAATGTCCGATCGGAAAGGGCCCCAGAGTGGCCTCCCTAGCACCACCTTCACGTGGGAGCACATCTGAAAGGATCAAAACGACTGAACGCATCGGTTGTTTTGCACTGTGATCGCAAGCCCCAGAACACCTCCATGTAAGAAGAAATCGGACACACGGTATCATGCCCCAGAACGAGCCCACTCGAGGATATGCAGAACTTTGACGAAGCTCGGAGGTCGTGGGCGACACGTGCGCAGCCCGGACAGCTGCACAGAGTGCTCAGGGTCCCAGGGATGAGAGAACCCAGTGTTAGCATGTCCCCATGTCACGACCGGATCCATGTAGACTCTGACGGTGGAATTCGACTACATACACGTGCCATTGTGAAGAAGGGAGCCCATTAGTTAAGCTAGTGCGACCGTGCCACAGCTTTCCACAGAGCAGTTTCTGGGTGAGTGGCATCGGCTGGAAGTGGGCCGTATGTAAAGCTCATGCCGTGAGGTGTGCAGGAAGCCAAAGACCTCCCGCTGCCAGCGGCACCGGTGCTGCAAGCGCCCCCACCCAACTCGGCGCCTTGGCCTGCATCCGATTCTGAAGCTGTAACCTGCCTGCCTCGAGTGTGCTCGGTTGAGAGGTGGAGTGGGAGGTCCAAGACATTGGCCCCGGCTCCGACGAAGGCGAAGGCCGAGACCTTTCTTTTCTTGTCCTCTCGACGAAGGTTTCTTCAAGGTGCTGCTGGAAGCGCTAGTTCGCGCACTGGAAGCCGCATCTGCAGGAGGCGATCATTCCGATCTTCCAGTTCGGCCGGCGCTGCCACTGAAGCAGCTGCCCACTGCACAGTACGCCGATGGCTGCGTGCCTGCAATCAGACAGGCAATGTACACAAGGTGGATGTCCGTGCACATCCAGATGCATTGGACACTACTTTCATGCCTTCTTCTCCGTGTGTGTGTGTGTGTATATATCTTTACACATATAGCGGGGGATGTCGGCGAGCTGAGGGTTGGGGGGGCAGGCGTAGCTGTAGAGTTCTGCTGCAACAAAAGTTGTCGGTGGCACACAAAGCTTGGAATACCTTGTCTTAGCAAGGTTCCTCAGAGGATCTGCCACTTCTGCCGCCACTGCCACCTCCGGCACCAGTTCAGCAAGCACCGAGCCAGGCTCGACTATGTTGGTACCCGTACTCGTCACAAACTTCCCGATCATAACTGTAAATGCAGGTGCTCCCTGCGCATGGTGCCCTTGCCGGGCCTGCGGATGGTGCAGCCCTCGGAATGCTTTAGAATTAGTAGGTGTAGGTTCGGGTACCATTGGTTGGGGTTCGACCAACCTGTTCGTACACTTCTGTTCCGGTAGCCTATCCAACCGTAGGGCGTAATGGCGTAATGCCTTTTCATCATTCTCAAGCATGCGGC